AAACAGCTGCGGCAAAACCTCCAGCCGACCCAGGGACCGGCCTGGCCTGGCCAGAGCCCGGGGGAAGCCTCGCAGGCCCAGCCCAGCCCCGGCCTGGGCCGCATGGCCTGGGCAGGGGACGGGGGCCAGCTGGAGCTCTGTTACCTTTTACAGCTAGGAAACAAAGAGACAAAGAAATTCCCGGGCTTAGGTCTTAAGGTGGTGTTCACAGGTTGATCTCACTTTTCAATGGTCAAAACTACTGTCAATTCTCAGAAATGGCCAGTTATTGGCCAGGAGAAAAAACTTCCATTCAGCCTCCATCAGTTTTAACTTCTTTAGGTGTTTCTCTTTGTTTTCTTAAATGCCAATCTATCACAGGGGGTCATTTGGTTTCTGTCAACAAGGACTCTCATTAACACAAATAATTCGCAGATCATCATGCTCACCCTGCCATAAAAGCTGGCAGTATTTCCAGGAGAGATGAGCCTGAATAAATCCAGTTAAGCCTTAACTGCTTAACAAATAAAACAAAAATACACACATGATAGAGGCAAGGCCCTGGTAAGTTTTGGAAGGTAACCTGTATTCTGATTAAAATCAGAATGCAATTCTGTTGACAGAACAGTGACCTCACCAAATAATCTCAACAAGGAAAAACCAGAACAAGAGTTGGCAAGACATTAATCACCATTTGCAGAAGTTCCCATTTAATTGGAAAGGCATGAGAAACACTTCAATTAGTTTATTTTATTTTTCCTGAGACTTTCACTATACTAGCAAAATCTGTGCTGAAAAGGGTGACCAAAAGTCCATGAAACATGCACTGCCCTTTCCTAGTTAATGAAATGTATCTTTGCAAATTTTAACACAAACCTTCTCCATTTGTCAGAAAAGATGTTTTCTTTTTCCTCTTGAAATTGTATCCCTTTCTCCACCGTCTTCAGGTTTGGTGGGTTTGGTTTCTGGGGCTTTTTAGGGTGGCTGTGGTGGTTTGTGGTTTTCTTTTGTTAAACTGTAAAGTATCCTGTTGTTACCTATACGGTGGAGTTGGCATCAAAATAAGACATGAAAATTTGCTCTTCCCTGCAAATATGGGGAAATAGTAGATGAAAAGATCTACCAATAAAATGCATGAAATGCATTCAAAAACTATTACTGCACGGTAGAGAAGATGCTAGGGAGAAGCAGTTGTCAGTCTTCAAGCTCCAAAATCCTTTTGCTTTGTTGAGTTCAAGGGTTACACACCCAGTATCTCAAA